GGTTTTTACATGTATCCCTTGCATTTTTTCCATTTTTTAAAATCTATTTTCGTAGATAATTTTGATATTTCAGAAAATATTTTCTAGAATAGTGAAATTAATATTTCAGTAATTATTTTTCAAAAATAGTGTTTTTTTTTACTTTTTAGAAAATTAAATTTATTATTCCAGAAAGAACTTTTCAAAATACTATTTTTAATATTTTAGAAAGTAATTTTCAGAATAGTAAAATCAGTGTTTCGGAATAGTAAAATCAACGTTTCAAAAAATATTTTTTTTAAAAGTGTATAGTTTTACATAAGTCTAGAAAATCTTTTTGAAATAATAATGTTTAGAAAATACTTCTTACAAGTATTTTAAAGATATAATTTCAGAAAATATTTTTCAAAACACTAATTTAACTATTTTGCAAAGTACTTTTCTGGTACTTTTTAGAAGGGTAAAAAGGGAAGGAGATGCTCATAGAAAAAATGTACATCTAGGTCAACACCTTTGATACTGTCAAGAAGTTATAGGCGTTTATAATGCAATCACACACCAATGTACCAATTCTACATCTCGGATATATGTGAAACCTGAAAGGAGAAAAAAAAGAATATATAAAAAATGACAAAATATTAAATTGAATATTAAAAATATAAAATTAAAATATTAAAAATATTTTAAAAATTTATTTATCTTTTTTAAATAAAAGGAGGTGTACTTATTAAAAAAAAGTGTATATATTATCATTCTTAAATGAATGGTATATTTAATAATAAACAAGAGAGAGAGAGGCCCAATTAAGATTTTTGTGACCAAGAGAAAAAGCCCAATCTAGTTGCTAAAACCCTTGTGAGTTTTTGCATCTATGTCACTGCGCTTAAACCTAACTAAAACGCCACCGTCGTCGCTCTCACTCAGCCACCACCGTCACCTTCAATTCCAAGTTCTCCATTAACGAGGTATTCCCAATCAATGCTATTTTATTTTATCTAAGCTTCGTCTATTCCTTTATGCCTTTGGATTTTTCCAATCATTGATTTGTAATTGTAATAGTTTCGTTTCATTTGAATTCGTTATTTTCTCTCTTGCTGACCCCATTTTTTGCTATATAAATCATTTCACGGTTTCGATTCCTAACTATCAAATTGGATAAACTTCGTTTACGTTGTAGATTGGGTTGTGAAAGATGAGTTTGATATCCCAAAATGCTCGCCCTAAAAATGAGGTCAATAAGAGCAATAAAGAGGCTGAAGGCGACGTTGAGAATAACGAAACCCTGAAAGTGAAGAAGAGGAAGAAGCGAGACGGCGAGGTGGAACAATTGGCAAAGGAACAAGTGAAGGAGATGAAGAAACTTGAGAACTTTTTGTTTGGTTCTCTCTATTCCCCTCCTGAGTTTGGAAAGGAGGATGATGAGATGGAGCCTGTGAATGCTTCTGAAAAGTTTTCGGATTTGTTCTTCACTGACCGTTCTGCAAACAATGTTCTTTCTGTTTATCGGGAGGAAGATGAGGACTTGTCTGAGGAAAGTCACAGTCATGATGATGATCTCGCTTTGCAAAGGAAACCGGTGTGGGTGGATGACGAAGAAGAAAATGCCACTGTGAACATAGCCAAGGTTAACAGATTAAGGAAATTGAGGAAGGGAGAGGATGAGGATGTGATCTCGGGTTCAGAGTACGTGTCAAGATTGAGGGCTCAGCATGTTAAGCTCAATCCAGGAACTGAATGGGCGCAAGTTGATAAGATGGATAGATTTTCTGATGATGTGTCGACGGATGATGAAAATGAAGCTGTTGTGAGCCATGGTTGCGAGGATGTGGATGATATTCTCAGGACAAATGAAGACCTGGTTGTGAAGAGTGGTGCAAAGTTATTGCCGGGACATCTTGAATACTCGAGGCTTGTGGATGCGAATATTCAGGATCCTGCTAATGGTCCCATAAGTTCAGTTCAGTTCCATCGGAATGCGCAGCTGCTTCTTGCAGCTGGATTGGACCGGAAGCTTAGGTTTTTTCAAATAGATGGCAAGAGGAACACCAAAATTCAGAGCATCTTCCTTGAAGATTGCCCCATTCGAAAAGCATCTTTCTTGCCAGATGGGTCTCAGGTTATATTATCTGGAAGGAGAAAGTTCTTTTATAGTTTTGATTTAGTTAAGGCTACAGTTGATAGAATAGGTCCTCTGGTTGGTAGGGAAGAGAAGAGTTTGGAGGCTTTTGAGGTGTCTCCTGATTCTCAAATGATAGCATTTACAGGTAATGAAGGGTATATTTTATTGGTTTCAACAAAAACAAAGCAATTGGTTGGTACTCTGAAGATGAATGGAACAATCCGTTCCTTGGCTTTTGCTGAGGATGGACAGCAGTTGTTGAGTGGCGGTGGTGATGGCCAGGTTTACCACTGGGATCTGAGAACAATGACTTGCATGCATAAAGGTGTAGATGAAGGTTGCATAAATGGCACAGCTCTTTGTACTTCACCAGGTGGAACTCATTTTGCAGCTGGTTCAGACAGTGGAATTGTGAATATTTACAATAGAGAGGAATTTCTTGGGGGCAAGAGAAAGCCTGTCAAGACTATAGAGAATTTGACTACGAAGGTAGATTATATGAAATTTAATCATGACTCCCAAATATTAGCAATTTGTTCAAGCTTGAAGAAGAGCAGCTTAAAATTAATACATATCCCATCGTATTCTGTGTTCTCCAACTGGCCACCATCAAACACAACCCTGCATTATCCTCGCTGTATTGATTTTAGTCCAGGTGGTGGTTTCATGGCTGTGGGAAACGCTTCAGGCAAAGTGTTACTGTATAAGTTGCACCATTACCAGCATGCCTAAGGCAGATTTGAAATACTGGCAGGTTTCGAGAGTTTTGTTGTATTTTTTTTTGTTGGAAAGTTGAGACTTTGTATTTTAACATTAATTAATGAAGCTTCATGAGCTTCCTCTTAAAAAGTTAGAAGTAATTCAGCTTCATATTTTTAATCGTCAATTTTATTGGGACTTAACTTTATTATTCCGTTAATTTCTTTAGTATTTAAAATTAATCTTCATTTCATTTTTTGTTTATTATAAACTGAGTATTGTCATGCTTTGAAAGGTTTATTATTATGATATCAGGCGTATCTTTAAGTGGCATGGCATGGTTGATATGTGATTTGATATATTTATTGTGCATTCATATTGTTTACTGTAATTGTAGCTGGGGTGCAGTTTATATGAATGTGTCCGCTTTGTGTACATGGTTTTGATTTGCACCTGAGATTGCCATGCATTATTTCCATGGTGTTACTGAATTTTCAGCTTTTATTTCCATTTATTATTTTTCCTGTTTCTTTTGTCATCATTTTGTTTGTCAGTTTCTTCAGAAATGAAAGATCATTGAATATGCAAAATCTCAAATGTTGGAGTACCATTTAATTGAACAGTTCTTCTTACAATTTTTTGAACAAACTCTTTAAGAATTCGTTGAAAGGTATTAAAAATAACAAAAAGGATTGCAGATTTTATTTCTTATTTAATGAATCTCATTTATAGTTTTATACTATAAATCTATAATTTTATAGATTTTACGAAATTTGTTAAACCCGGGAGACAAGATTTTTTTGTTCATTTAGCAAATGAGAATTTCAACTCGAGGGAGTCACGTTAATGGGACGTGTTGTATCTAAAACATGAATCACCATAGATTCCAAGAAAAAAAATTCACTAATAATAAAAAGTAAGGCAAAATAAATGTTTGAAAATTTGTCCTAAATCATTTATAGGACGTGTTGTATCTCAATCTTTTAAATCTTCTTGTGTCTCAAATTTGTCCTAAATTTTTAAGAGTTAATCACTTATACACTGTCAGTGTAAAGTTTTTTTACACTGACAACTAATTAAATATGTTAATAGTACCATGTTATTTGCTTATTTAATTAAATTAAAATAAAAAAGACACTATTAACAAATCTGATTGGTTGCTAGTGTAAAAAACTTTACACTGATAGTATATAAGTGATTAACTCAATTTCTAATTTGTTTGGATACAAAAGTGATTCAAGAGGTTTATATAAAAAGAAAATTTATGAAAAGATTTAATTCTATTTATTTAAAAGTTGAGAGATTAAATTTATATAAAATGATAAAAAAAATCTAAATTTTACATATATAACAGTGGAGACTAAGATATAATTAAGTTTATTTAATATTTATGTCACTCAAATGCAATGACATAAAATACTTATTTGAACATCATGTACTTCTCTCATTAGTAACTAAAATCTTAAAAATATTATTGTGGTGATACATAATTTTCTAAAATTAAGTTAATTCTTTTTGTACTCATTAATCCGGTCTACAATCACCACACATCACATAAGATAATTTATGAGTAAAAGAGTATAACAACTTAAAGTCTTTTTTTTTTTTTTTTTTTTTTTTAAA